CTATTTCCTCTATTTCCCTCCTCTCCCCTGCTCTCTCTCGTACCCTCTGATCTTTAGGCTCTCTTTCCCTCTTTTCTCCCTCCCTCCATCCATCTCCTGTCAGAATTACAATCTTGTAATAGACTCACTATCGCAAACCAGATGCCTGATTAGCTTGAAGCATTTGCATCAATGGTGAGATGGAATTTGATTAAAAAAAAAGATCCATGCCTCTCCCAAACAAACATCATATATGAATATAATATCTACCAAGTCCAACCAGGAAGGGTGACAATCCTCAGATTGCTTGCTGATATGAATCATCACCAATCTGAAGTAAAGCCTGATGATATTTTTTACTAGAGCAGAAAGATTGACGGGAGGAAGAAGTTGCAATGAAGAGATAAAATATGCAGCAACAGAGAAACAACAAACCTAATATTGTGGCTTTTAAAAGATATGCATTGAAATCTAGACCTTTCAGAAGAAAAAGAGTAAAATAAAGTAAACAAAATATTCTTCCTCATGTTTGTAATGAGAGATGAAACATAAACCCAAATGAGGATATCTTATCTGACAAGCTCTATCCCCCCCCGGGGGTGGGGGACGGAATTTCATACTGTTCTTTTTCCTGAAATGACCTTCAAATGTTTATACAATTCAAAATAGAGCATTAAAAAATTTCCGCTTCATCATCCTTACATAGATTATACTGTACCTTTAAGGAAGGATGAATATCAGAACTATCCCTTGACAAGAACCTAAAGCAGCAATATTCAACCAAATTACGGGCATCTCTGTATACTGATTCAGGAACAAGAGCTTCATAAATTTTCTGCATTTTCTTCCCAGTCAGCCCATTCATCCTGCATATCTTATTTGAAAAAGTCAAATAATAATTTTTATATCAGTTTGATAGGCATAATCTAAGAATAAAATAGAATATTACAAAAGAGAAAACGTGGCACACACATTCACCTGCTAAATTGCTCAATACATGTAACAGCAGCTAGAGAAAGAATGCCATTTTCTGTTCTGCGTTCTATGGTCTGCTCTACCATAAATATGTCTTCCATAACTTGAAATCCAAAATCCTCTTCAGGATCAGACTTTCTATTTTGACCAGATTTTGCAAGTGGAGAAGACACTTCATTCAAAAAGTCTTGGGTCTTTGATAGCAACATATATATTCTTTCTTGGATTGAACCTTTCAAGAAATATGAAGCTTAAAATTAAAGAACAGCCAAAATGAGGAGTGTGGTAAATACACTGATGTATAATAATAATTAGTCTGATGGAAAAACCCAGGAGTTTGATGTCATGCTAGACTAATGTCAATGCTCGCTGGTTCATAAGTCCAGTTGAGAAATGGATAGTGCAAGTGATAAGAGTTTGACTAGCAGTTGGAAAAGTGAAATAGCCACATAGCTAGTAGACAAGCAGATAAAAGATTTATTTCAAGAAAACGAAAAAGGAAAAAAGAGTAGCCTTATCCACTGGCACTTGCCTCGCCAAGAAACAAGTGGGAGTTTGGTAGTTCAATGCAAATGACCAAGCCTCAGTGAGACAAGTTTTATTGCAGTAGCATTTCCCTTTTTTCTGGTTTAAATAAAGCATTGAATTAATACGGATACCAGGTGGTTGATTTTCTAGTCTTTAACTGCATTCTAACCAGTTCCTTTCTCAGTGTGCATGTTTATTTCATCAATTAGCTCTGTCATCAATCCTGTGCCACACACTTATGGTTGAGACTAGAGGAGAAAATTTGGGTACAACCTGTATATCTTTGTTATCAAGTTTACTAATAAAAACACATCAAGCGGAAATTTTTATATGATTAAATGATCGGATCTTTTTAAAAAAAAAAAAAAAACTTTCCACATGTCATCATTTATTTATCCTAATGGCAAATAGCTAAGAAATTTCCACCACGTATCATCCAAAATTGAAACATCATAGGCCGCCAATGGTAGAGATATTGCGCTCTTCGCCTACAAGCGAACAATGAACCCTCGGAACTAGGAAACTATCAAAATGAGTGGACAAGTAACATTTATGAGCTAAGACACTACGAGTTTCCTTTCTAACCATTTATAATGACTTATGAAAACAATAACACAATCGCGAGTATAAACACAAATAGCTAACAATCAATTCTTGCAGACATACTTCAAAATGAAAATTCAGAGAATAGAAAGAAATCACATACTAGTGCTAATATCATTCAGCTTCCATCTATCCCCCAGAGATTGTCGCACGAACTTGAACGGGAACTTCTGCTCTGAAACTATTCTTGCAGGGAATTTGTATTTACAAAACTCTCCCTTGTTGTAAGAAATCACATAAAATTTGGCGGTAGGAGATGTTCCCAAGTGGATCAATGGAAGCTTAGGCCCCATCTCCATGCACACTTTTCTTTCTGGGTTTTCAGGATTCTAGACAGAAACTCATACGGAGAGATCAATCATCAAGAAGCAAACATATGGGAGCAAGACGCTCCAGAGAGCGGAGCGGCGCGAAGAGGAAGATAATTACCGAGTGAAAGTCACTAGAGTATGCGTAGATGCTTTGGCTTCCTTCGCAATTGCCACATTTATTTGCAATTCTTGCCTTTGGACCATTGTGTGCGGTGCGCGACGCGGATAACTCCGGCGGCTTTGCACGTGCTAAATATAGGTAGTTACGTCTCTATCTTTGTCTATGGATATGTGTGTGTATATATGCACTCACAAATATTTTATAGCGATGCAGGTCAAAAAGAGAAAATATTTAATAGAGTTGACCACATAAGGAACCTTAAAATCGGATTCATACGTATATAGTCAAATGAGAGTTTAAAAATACAAAGATTCCTGTGAGAAAAATGAATTCTTTTTTCCATCACCAAAGAAAGTAAGAATTAAGAAACCTATGGAAATCCATGCAAGTAAAATGAATTAGAATACTTTTCTGGGAGCTTAAAACCGGAAAGTTAATAGATATTGGCTGAAGATACAACAAATTTAATGAGAGCGAGTACATAACAATATGCTTTTTTATGAAGAACATGTTTCTAATGGCATCGATCAGGCCTTAATACATACTACTCCGGTCCTTAATATAAGACTCTATTTGATTTTTATTTTGGTCATAAATATAAGACCTTAATTCAATTTTTCTCTCATATTTATATATATTTTTCCAAAATAACCCTTCTAACAATGATAGTTCTAGTTAATACACTTAATTAGCAATGATATTTTAGGAAAGACAATACCTGTTTAAGACAAATAACTAACTCAACTTACTTTCTTAATCTTCTCAAATTAGTCAAATGATTCTTATAATTAGGACCGGAGGTAGTATTAAACTTATTTCTCCTAATAATTAGAACCGGAGGCAGTATTAAACTTATTTCTCCTCAAATTAGTAAGAACTTTAAGCTTCGCTTGCAAGTATAAGAGTTGATTTGTAATGTATTCTTCTGGTTCTAAATATAAAATCTTTTTTGTAGTATAATTTACACTACAAAAGAAGTTTTATATTTAGAATCGGATGAGTATTAGTATTGAGTTTTTACATAAATAGACTATTTAGATTAGAAAGATTAAGAGGAAAAAATCCTTTGCCTACTTCATAAAAGTATATACTATTGGGAATTTATTAATAATTTTGTTTAGGTTAAAAAAATTGGATTCCCTATCAAATGATTTTTTTTTGTTTTTTGGGCCAACGCTTATCAAATAATCTTATCTCTTATCAATGGAGAAAAACTTGATTGGATAACGAATTATTGCCCTTCAAAGAACCAAAGGATTTCGTTTAGATGAAATGATCAGAGGCTAGATTGCCGACATGGATGATGATTAAGACATATTGATGACATGGAAGGTGATATCGCAAATGACTAGGATAATGACACGGGTGGTGAAGTCGGCTAATGACAAGGATGGTTATGTATTTGGAAGATAAATTTAATAAAATGTTTTGCAAAAATGACATGAAATATTCATTTTACAGTATTTACACTGATTACAGAAGCTTGTTAGAGTACATAAAAAATATTATTACTTCTAACCCTTAATATAATACTCATTTAATTAGTTTGAAAAAATTTAAAAAATTATCAAATTATTTATATTTATGGTTTTACTCTAAACTAATTTTTTTCACTTAAAAATTAATATATAATTTAATAATATACATAATTATTTTACAGAGATCATGTAACATATACTATAATTGAATAATTTAGTAACTTTTTTAATTTTTTCAAATATGTTACTCCTCCGGTCCTAAATATAAAACCCATTTTGTAGTGTAATCCCTAAATATAAGACTCATTTTATAGTGTAAATTATACTACAAAATGGGTCTTATATTTAGGACTGGAGCAAGTATATTGAAAATCAGATTAAGATGAAATATTATAAAAAGAAGTAAAACTAATTTATCATTTATCTATGGATTTCTCTCTAAAAAACTTTTTTTAATCAACTACTGGTTTTATTTATAGGATAAAAAAAGAAAATATTTTTTTGGTTTTATTTATGAGGTATTGAGGGAAATCTTTTGTATCAATGTATAACTTTACTCTTTATTTATTGTTGTATTAGTTTTATTTGTATGAGGTATAATATATATTAGATAAGGATAAAATTAAAAAATTATTACATTTTAAATAAGAATCAATAAAATTTAAGATTTTTCTTAATATATACTACTTCCGGTCCTAATTATAAGAGTTAGTTGAAGAATTTGAGGAGATTAAGGAAAAAATTTAAGTAAGTTATTTATAATAAATAGATACTGTCTTTCTTAAAATATCATTATTCGTCAATTGTATTGGTTAGAATTATTATTGTTAAAAGGATTATATTAAAAAAATACATAAATATAAAAAATAAAATAGATTTAGGTCTTGTGTTTAGAACTAAAATAAAAATTAAATAAGATTTTATATTAAGAATAGTAATATAAAATGTGTAATAAATGATTTATAAATAGAACTAAAATAACAAATAACTGACGACATTGTCGCCAAGAACGCCAATACTAATATCAATGGCTTTATCCTCTCCTTTTGTTCTTCCAGTTCTCAACGCCACTCGTCTCGAAAATTCGCCCCCGAAGGTTCTCCATTTCCATTCAGCACCTTCTTCTGCGACGTCTCGCCTCTATGAGAACGAAACCAGCCATTATCATCGTTCCTTCTCAAGGGCTTCTTCTTCTTCGGCATCGCAGAAATGGAGGACAAGAGTCTCCTTCTTTCCCGCTTTCTTGAAAAAGGGAAAAGACGCTGAGGCTCTTAAGGATGAGCTTCTCGAGGCCATTGCACCGCTAGATCGAGGGGCTGACGCTACCCCTGAAGACCAGCAAAGAGTTGATCAGGTGGGTTTCGCTTTAGGGTTCATTTTTCAGTTGCTTTGCTTATTTTCTGTGGCGCAAAGATGAGGGAATTGATTATCGAACTTCCTACTAACTTGGCCATAGTTGTGTGCTTCACTGTGAATTTTTAATTTTGTGAGTCCTCTGTCTTATGGAAGGCATATATCTTTCTAGAGTGGAGTCGCACGAGCTTCATGTTATGCCGTAATAAATTGTTTGAAGCAATAAGAATCCCTCTGTTGATGAACTAGATATACATGTGAAATGATAGCATAACCTTCAAAATAGAATGAAACTTTCAACTTTCAAGGCTACCTTGCATCGCAATAAACTAATTATTAATTTATTATATACATTTTAAATTAATAAAATAACATTTCCATTAATATACATTTTGTCGTCTCTCATAATTCGACCACTTTCATAGGGTAGTTGGGGGACAGCAATGAACAATACACTTTGACTTGGTTGTTTCAAGGAGAAGTCTCACTTTCTCACTGAGAAGTAATTTAATCAGCTGATGGGGTTGGGTGTCAGAAATATTATTAATTTTTTTGGTTAAACAATATAACTTCATTTTCTTTCTGTTATTGATCCAACCTTAGTTTATTCTTAATTTTACATAATCTTAGTTCTTATAGTTATTATAGTATTTTTAAATGCAAATTTCATTGTTAAATTAAAAAATTAAATTCAAATTTAGTATGCGCTACCATGGATATCTGACTATTTCTCAGTGGCAATGGTGTTAATTTTGCACGATTATGGCATCTTTATTCTTGATTGTTGGAATTTATTTCTAAATAGATTGCACGCAAACTTGAAGCAGTGAATCCAACAAGGCAGCCACTAAAATCTAGCCTACTTGATGGAAAATGGGAGCTGATATACACTACCTCAAGGTCAATTTTACAAACCCAGGTAAACATTTCTTTCAAGGTTTTGTCCCACTATAACTAATATCTTGGCTGCCTATGTTTCTGTCTGAGAGCGTTTTCAATTGTCTGCTCTTTAAAATATTAAGATTACTTTTAATTCTTTTTTTAATTTTAAGAACAATAACTCCAGGAAATGGCTTTTTTAAAATGGGAGTTTTAGATTTATGTATATTTATAAATGTGTCGTTAGTATAAACTCCCTGATGATACTGTGTAGTTTTGAAGTTTTGCTTTCATTTATTTGTTTTACAATACTTGTTAGAAAGAACAACCATAAATGAAGTCATTAACTTCTATGGATCTAGTTTTCAACGCTATGTACTGAAGAAACTCCAAAATAAGCATTTTTCATTTCTTCTGCAGTGCATGTTCCTGAGTTGTTAAGAATCTTACAGAGTGTAGTCCCCCAAAAAAAAAATTCTACTTTCTAAAAATGGAAACTATTTTATGTTATTGCCACGTGTGACTCTCTAACTAATTATGTTCTGAATCTGAGTTATAGTTATATAATATGGGGAAAAAAATCACCTAAAGGCTCGTCTTTCATGCATAGATAGGAAAGTTAGAATTTGCTGCTTTTTGTTGATGCCTTCCCTTTTGATTTCCCCCCATTAATAAAGTCACGGGCGATTTTCCATACAAATGTTGCACTGACTTGGTAGCTAATGCAATGACAGAGGCCAAAGATTTTGAGATCAAGGACAAATTTTCAAGCAATCAATGCAGATACTCTGAGGGCTCAAAATATGGAGTCTGGGCCATTCTTCAACCAGGTAAGGCATTTTGAAGCTAAGTGGTTGTTAGACATTTATGTGATTCGCTCATGTTTCTCTTAAAAAGAAATAAAAGATAATATTTTGTAGGTTACAGCAGATTTAACACCTCTGAATACAAGAAAAGTGGCTGTCAAATTCGATACTTTCAAAATTGCAGGCTTTGTAAGTTTTCTTGAGCCTCAATGCTTGCTTTGTATCCTGTATGTAGGAGCGAAATGTGTTTGCTAATTATTTAACAAGCTCCAAGGAAAACCACGCACATATTGCATTATCTCCTTTTGAGCAAGTTGAATAGTCTCTGTCTAAATTTGGTATATCTTGGAATTGGTACCCTAATATAGATGAAAACTCTGCTTAAATTAATATAAACTAAATATATTTTCCTCATGTGATGCACATGATGAATCACAACTTGAATTCTTGGAAGACTATATTATATTTTTTAAGCATTTTAATTCTGCGGAAAAAAAGTTGAGGGAGAAAAAACTGCGCAGAGCCCAATGAAATGTGTACAAAAATATTGAAATAATAAAAAAATTGCACTGAGCTTGAGATGAGTCGTTCTATTTACGATTTTAAATTGTATAACTTTCTATGATTATAAATACCATGTTTTACCTATGCAGATACCTGTTAAGGCACCTGAAAGTGCCCGTGGGGAGTTGGAAATAACATATTTAGATGAAGAGCTGCGGTGAGTTATGTGCCATATTTTATTTAATACATTTTCAACAATTGATTCACGTCCAGATTTCTTGTCCGTTGAGAAATATGTTCAGTGATAAGTCGGAAACCTCTTGAGGTGCAAGTAGTTAATTCTTCTTTTTGCAACATAAGTTCTCCTATATATGTAGACAAGCACTAAACCTTTGTTACCTCGTCTTCTCTCATCTCTACTTTGGATCGATGGGATATAAATATTATAATTACGATGATCATGCGAGAAGATGATAGGACTCCGAGTCAGCACATTAACGCACTAGAGAAGAAATAGGGAGACTGCAGTAGGGGTTGAGTCTGTTTGCATCTTTTTAGGAGAGTTGAATGAGTCTTTTAGGTTTTATTGATTTTATTAATTATTCGTTGAATAAGGGGACTTTAGGTTGTTAGAGGTCCACCAACGTCTCTTTCTGTTAGTTCCAAGATATTAGGGATAGTTAGTTAATTTTATATTTATTCAATTGTAATTTCTGCATTATAAATATGTTAGCCATCCTATAAGCTAACATATGAGAGAAATAAATATTTATTCAGTAATTTGGAGATTCTCCTTCAGGCTACTAAATTTAGTGAGGTGAGATCCTTGCTTAAGTAAATCTTAGTAGATTTTATGCCGGGCTATTAGTGAGTTGAGAGTGAGATTCTTGCCTCTAACAGAAGACAGATTAATATTAGTGATTTTGCTATTCTTTTGTCTGTCTCTATCCTCAAAACCATTACATAATGTGAGAATTTCAAATCTTTTGTTGTAATATTAGGATTTCTAGGTGCTTATGATTCTCCTGATTTGTTGCTCTAAATTTATACTTTTTCCTTTCGTGATTTGTTGCGTATTTAGAATATTTTATTTCCCCTTTTTGTTGATGATTTTGTGTGATTGTAACATCAAACTTGTTGCAATAATCCCTATTTATGGGTGTATCGCTCTTGAGTATCATCAAAGTATTATTATTCTTAACTCTTAAACGTCTATCAATACACTATATATAATATAAAATCTATATAAAATCACATTATTTATAAGTTATGAATAGCATAACTCATGTCGGATTCTTGTACAAAGCATGGGCGGCCTACTGTCCAAGGCATATATCAAATAGAAGTATTAATTGTACTTTTCTCCTCACGTCATGTAACAGGATATCAAGAGGAGACAAAGGAAACTTGTTCGTCCTGAAAATGGTTGATCGATCATACCGAGTTCCCGTATGATGCATCATCAGTGCTTGTGGCTCACTTGCTCCTTTCCTTTCCTTGGCCTCAAAACTGAATCTTTGCTTCCTAAGGGGAAGATTTATGTTCAAAATTTATACTCCTCCGGGTTTAGTGCAAGTATGACATTCTGGGATTGCTTTTTTCCGTTCAAAATATTATAAATTAATCAACTGAAAGTGGGCAGAAATCATTTGTATTTCTGCTGGTGTTTTCTTCTCTGGGAATGGGAAGTTTGGCTTCAGAGGAATGTATTTTGTTTGGCTCAAAGCAAATTGTTATACTGACATGAGTTTTGTATATGTTAAAATAATTAATAAAAAAGGGAGTCAACTGTGATGTTATCATACATGGACTCTGTTAATTCAACCACTTGCTGATCCTATTTATCGGTACTTCAATAGTAGATGTGAGTGTAATTCACAGTTCAACGTGTAAAAGTTAGACGATTATCCACTTGTTTTTATCCCAAACGCTAAACCAATGCCAAATATTAAAAGGCAGAAAAAAGTTCTTTTTTGTAAGCAGTTTTTTTTTTTTTGGGTCGATAAGCAATCATGTAATAAAGTATATGCATGTGGACTAATGAGAGTCATTAATTTTTTTTTTCAAGAAAAATTTGTTATTACATTACTTCCTTTTGTCATTATTACAAGGACCTTTTACTAATTATAAAATTTTTAACTAATTAACAAAACTTTTCTATTTAATTATCTCTATTAAGGATAATTTTAAGAATTAATTAAAAAATAAATAATTTTAACTTATTTTTTAAAATCTCCTGTTCTTTAATTTGAGGTTACAACAAGAACAGGAGAAAGTGTGCGTATGAAACATAAATCTCGGTCTACATTTGCACTTGTATGGTGTACATGTAATATAGTACTCCAAAGTGAAAAAGTACGAGTAAACACACTCTTCGCTTCAATTAAGGTTGACTTTTAATCGCAACACAATATTTTAGTGTGCTCTCAAAGTTAACATAAAATATGCAATGGAAAGTGCAAAGTGTTAGTGAGAAAAAATCATTCTAATTATAAGAGCTTACTCGTAGTTTATAAATGAAGTCTTATTAATAGAACCGGATGTAGTACTAGACTTAAAAAAAAACTGAAAAATAAAAGCGTTTTTAAAGTAAACAAACTAAAATTTTTTATTAAAGACCAAATGAGCATTTTTACCTGCCCCGCACATTATATGGTTTCCGACCTTAACCCGGTGGCTACAGAGAAAGAAACCCCTAATAAGCTCCCATAAAAACTAATGGTCTTATCCCACTCGCAATTTTTTGGCTGCTTTTTGGGTACGAAAACCATTGGGTATTTCTGACGGGGAGGCTGAGAAAACTTATATTGGCTTCAAAGCCCAACACAAGCCCAATATAATTTATTGGACCTAGTTCAGCCCACTAATGACTAAAAGTTCGATCTTTTCAACGAGCACTAGACTTCGCGCGAAGACAACTGACTTCAATCCACTTCGTCTCTGCCGAAGTCTCGAAGAGGTGGAAATGGAAATATCAGTACTGGGAATTGGGTTACGGCATGGTATAGTCTTTCGCAATCCGCCAGTTTCTTCATCAATTTCTTCTGCATCTCCTTCCGCCACAAGAACAGTTCGTTTTCAGTGTAGTTCATCAACAGCGCTTACTGGGGAAATAGCTGGAACCAGCAATGGCGAACTACCCACTGGTAGAACCACAATCGAAGTTCAGAGGCACCCACCGAAGCCCAGAACGGCAAGACAAGCTGCAATAGCTGAAGTTCAGCAATCTTCTGATTTGGACTCAACTCTTGCGAGGTATTCTACCTTATGGAAAGCCTTATCAGGTCGTGGTATTACTTTGTCACTGTATTTATTTCTAACGAGTATCGTTGTTTTTACTGGAGTTTGGTGAGTAGGTGTAAATTGTTTTTTTTCCTGGTTTATTTTGAGAACTAAAATTGTATTCTTGCTGGTTGCTTGCCTCAGTGTTTTAATTGCATTGAATATGAATAATGCGTACAAAATGCAGTGGCATCATTATATATATATATATATATATATATATATAAATGTATAGCTGGCTACTTTCTCATGTGAGTCAAGCTTTTGCTTAGTTAATTAAACTCACTGTTTTTTTATTTTCAGAGTAGGAAAACTGCTGAAAGTGCAGGACCTAAATGCCATTTTACGTAACTTTGGACAGCTTAACAGATTACAAGACGTTACTCAGGTACTTTTACTTACAGATCATATATAACCCAAGAAAGTCAATCGTCATTAAATGACCTACCAGCTTAAAATTGGTTTATGGAATGAAGATAATCATTTATCTTTGATCTACTTTGTCCAAGAGTAAAAGAAGTAGCAAGAAACGGGAAACAGGATAGAAAAGGTAGTGTTGTACATGCACTGACCAATGACACATACACAGTTGCATCTAGAGTGTAATTTGCCCTTCCTGTAATTTTTCATGCTTGTAATACCTTGACCAAATATTGCAGCTCTTTGTATGGATGCAAGAAAGCAGGAAGCTTAATGCTTCATCTTACATCAGTTTCATAAAGTTCATGGGCAATAATCTTGACGCTTTAAAGGTTGTAGAAATATACAATAGCATTCAAGATGAAGCACCCAAGACCAATGTCTATCTATGTAATTCTGTTCTCAGTTTTCTTGTCCGGAAAGGCAAGTTTGATAGCAGCATAAAACTGTTTGAGAAGATGAAAGAAGATGGTCTAATGCCTGATGTTGTTACATATAGCACGGTATGTGATTCTAAACCTTAAGAGACTGTCATATATTGGTGAAAATGAATTTGTTTGTGATGTGTGGAATCATCGTTTTATCTTCTACCATCATTGGTTCTTTCTGGCATTCCTTCAGCATGCATGAAGATGTGACTGTAGAAAAGTGGAGAAGTGTTTTTTCTCTTTTGGATGCAGCTAGAATATTTCCCATGCTATTATTATTCTCAATTTATTTTTCAACCGAAGTATTTATCTTTTTTTTTTTTTTTTGGTGTTACATACATCTATAGATAAACTTATCAGTCACTGTTGTGTGGTGGGCCAAACAGCTTTCTGGAGAAGTTAATTGTTTAATGGTTTTAGTTTTGTACCGCAACACATGATTTCTTTTATGTTTGTTGCCATCTTATCATGGTTATTATCCTTAGCTGTTGGCAGGTTGCATTAAAGCCAAAGATGGATATTCTAAAGCACTGGAGCTAATTCAGGACTTGCAACTCAAACGGCTGCGAATGGATGATGTAATTTATGGGGCAATTCTAGCGGTATGTGCTTCCAATAGTAAATGGGAAGAAGCAGAATTCTATTTCAACCAGATGAAGGATCAAGGTCTCTCTCCAAATCATTATCATTATAGCTCTTTGCTTAATGCTTATTCAGTATGTGGAGACTACAAAAAGGCTTATGAATTGGTTCAGGATATGAAATCTGCAGGGTTAGTACCTAACAAGGTTTGTTTTTCTCTTATTGATCTTTTATAGGATGGTATTTTACAAGTAGCATGCTCCCGCTGTAGCTATTTATTGCTGTACTTTTGCTTGCTTGACAGTCTTTTTTGCCATGCCACAACTCGCAATATACAGAGGAAATTTTTTAAAATATTTTTAATAAACATATATCTTGCTATTCCATGCAGAAATAGACATCCATCCAGATTGCTATTGACTTCTCTTACTTGTTCACCGATAAGAAAAATCTTTTATATTGTTGCCGCTTTGTTTTCTATCTTTTCTTGTTTTTAATATAGCAATGCTTCACTGAATTTGATTTATATTGTAAAAAATAATCGCAGGTCATTTTGACAACCTTACTGAAGGTATATGTTAGAGGAGGCCTATTTGAGAAGTCTAGAGAGTTATTAACAGAACTGGAATCTTTGGGCTATGCTGAAGATGAGGTAATAAGACGAAAAATATAAGAATTGATTGCTTTAGTTGAATCTGACTGTTTACCTAATTATGGTCTATAGTCTATACATCTGAGCATTGCTAATACTTAGTTGATGTTGTGAAATTCACTTATCATATAATAATTAATATATCCTTCTTTGAACCTTTTTCTTTGTCTATATTTTCTCACTTGACGATTGTGAATGTGCATGTATGTGTGCGTGCAGATGCCCTACTGTTTGTTGATGGATGGGCTTGCTAAGGCTGGCCAACTGCAAGAAGCTAAACTACTGTTTGATGAAATGAGGAAAAAGCATGTTAGATCTGGCAAGTTTTCTTTCAGTGTTTGATCTTGCTCAAAACAATTTCTTAAATAGATAATGAATTTTTTTATTTGATTGTTCTGGATGCAGTAAGGGGTCCATGAATTTTCACATACTGCTGCGTGCAAAATTTTAATTTTCAATTGCCAAACATCCATGTTAACTAGTTCTCTCTTAATGGCTTTGGCATATTGTGAAACTCTTTTCTTTTCCTTCTTTTTCTTCTTCTTTTCCCTTTTCCGTTATCTTCTTCTATGGTCTAATATGATTAATGAAATTTAGTTGCTTCACAGAAATCAATGGTCAGGTCATCCTATTCTCTACATTTGGAAGCTTTACTGGATCTTTGTCTTAATTTGTAATTGATTATACAACCTTGTTGAATGAGCTTATCTAATCTGTTTTTCTTCACCATTATTTGCTGTTGTTTTATAATTTGTGCAAGGCAAGCAAATGTTGGATTTTAATCTTTCATGTGCCTTTTTTTTTTATGTTTGATAAAAATATGTGCTGATTTTTTTTTTTTTTGGATGCTCTATCATTATGTAATTTTATTTCCTAAATGCAGATGGTTATGCTCACAGTATCATGATATCAGCATTATGCCGAAGCAAGCTTTTTGATGAGGCAAAACTGTTGGCAAATGATTTTGAAGCAACCTTCAATAAATATGACTTGGTTATGATGAATACAATGCTGTGTGCTTACTGTAGAGCAGGTGAAATGGAAAGCGTAATGCAAACACTAAGAAAGATGGATGAATTGGCAATCAGTCCTGATTACAATACATTCCATATCTTAATAAGATATTTTTCAAGGGAAAAGATGTATCTGTTAGCTTATCGAACCATGAAGGACATGCATAGTAAAGGTTATCAACCAGCGGAGGTATGGTGTTATTGAATCTACTGACGCTAGTATTGACATTGATTCTCTTGTTCAATCGAGCTTGTCTTCCTCAGCAGACTATAATCTGTCCTTTGTTCCTATCAATATAACATACAAAAACTCCGGCTGTTCACACTAATGCAGTTCATACCTCAGATCCTGTGCAATGCATGGGTTTACATTTAGTTATTTGTAATTACAGCTACGGGTTAGGTCATCCCGTAGGCATACGTGGCC